TCTATCTATCTATCTATCTATCTATCTATCTATCTATCTATCTATCTTATTCCACCTTTGGACAATTCAAAGATAGATGGCTCCTGACTCCTAATTTCCCCACAATAAAAAGCTTTTGAATGGGTAAGGATGATAGGGAATGATAAGCCCAACATCACCCAACAATTTTTGAGCCCTAAGGAGGACTAGAACTCACAGTCTCCTGGTTTCTAACCCACACCTTAGTCACTAAACATTTTACAGAATTCAAGGGTCAGATAAAAACACACTTTGAGTTTTTTCACCAAATTCATGTATGCTCTCTTGTTCTCTTCAGATCCCATTTGAGATGCAATTGAGAGGTCAGAAGCTAAAGTTCCATTGATCAACACACTCAACATATCAAGTACTGTTGTAAATAATTCACTAAAAAGGGAAAAGAAAAAGACAAATTATATTTTGAAGAGCAGTACTAGGACCTATAGTAAAGCAGAAGCTTAATATTTCTTTCTAGAGTATCAAATAATCCACTTTTACATCAACTTAAGGATGAGGAAATAGCCATGTCCTACACGAAACCAAGATAATGCCAATAATTACACATGTGCAACAAGACCATCACACAAATGCTATATTATATACATAATTTTAAATCATTGCAAGTTGTCTATTGGCAACTAGACACAAAGATGCCAAACTGATGACATTAATCAGAATAGAATTGGAAGGGACTTCAGAGGTCCCTTAGTCCAACCCCATGCTCAAGCCCTATACCATTTCAGGTAGGTGGCTATCCAGTCTTTAAAAAAAAAACTTCTAGTGATGAAGCATCTACAACTTTTGAAGGCAACTGTTAGGAAGTTTTCCCTTAATTCCACTTTGCTCCTCTCCTTGATTAGTTTCCATCCATTGTTTCTTGCCCTGCCCTTCTTTGTGGCAGCCTCTCAAATAGTGGAATACTGTTATCTTATTCTCCCTAGTCCTTCTTTTCTCTAGACTAGACAAACCCACATCCTGCAACCGTTCTTCATATATTTTAGTCTCCAGACCTTTAATCATCTTAGTTGTGTGTATTAATAGAATAGAATAGAATAGAATAGAATAGAATAGAATAGAATAGAATAGAATAGAATAACAATACAATACAATACAATACAATACAATACAATATAATACAATACAACACAATACAATACAATACAATACAATACAATACAATACTTTATTGGCCAAGTGTGATTGGACACACAAGGAATTTGTCTTGGTGTAAATACTCTCAGTATACATAAAAGAAAAGATGTTATGACATCATGACATGTGTATCATGACACACAAGGCCCACATTTTTAAACTTGGATTGCAATGTCACATGCAGGAATGTAAAGACAAAGTTTATGTTTTAAAAAAGGAAAGGCATCTGCGACTGTTATTGTTATACAATGTGACACCATGAACTTTGTGCAATATTTCAAATCAGATTGTGGAGTAATATCCATCTTCCACACTCCATTTTACTCTATTTATGAATGTTGAGGAGCAGCCAAGCCTACATTGTCAACACAAACGTTACCATATTTACCTTGTTCTAAAACAGTAACTAGCACTAGCCAACCCACATTCAAATCCTTGGCTGAATCCAAGGTAGTGAAGTTACCCTTACTTTAAGAAATCTCATGAATAGACCTTGGAGAATTTACTTTTGAAATTAGTTTAGAAGGAAAATACAATTAGAACCATTATTATTTACTTACTAAATTTATATGCTGCCCAGAGTTATTTGATAGTGAGATAGTGACATATAAATGTAATAAATAAATAAATAACTATTTCATTTTGTGCAAAATGAATGGCAATTTTTGCTTTACAAATAATATTGTTACTCAAAGTACTAAGACCCATAATATATAATATGCATTAGAATACACATACTTATTGGTTTGCATGTCAACAGTCCCTGATGTTATTATCTGAAGGAGTAGAAGTGCCCAGTCGGTGGTCCACTGAGTACTTCTTTGCACCGTATCAAACATTCCACCAACCTAGAATTGAAGCATTGAAAAAAATGAATAAAAAAGTAAACCAAATGTACTGTACAATCTTTATTTTCTAACTATTTAGACTGCAATATTGTGTTGTGTGCAGAACTCCAAGCAGCTTAGGTAGGGGCTGAAAATATGACTATGAAGGATCCCCCTAAGAGCAATTACCGTGTTTCTCACAAAATAAGGCTGGGCCTTTTTTTTTTGACCCCCGAAAAAACAGCTAGGCCGTCTTTTTTTGGGGGGGACTTAATTTCCTCCCCTTGCATCCTCAGGCGCCAGGCAGGGATGGCGGCTGGGCGCTTCTCCCGGGGTGGGCCGATCCTGCACTGCAGCCCCAGGAGATTTGCCTCCCCATGTGGGGTTGGGTTGCCCTCTCGGGCAGGGGAGGCTTTGTCGTACCGGTAGTAGGGCGTCATTTTTAAAAGAATTGGCTTTGCCTTCAAAGGTGAAGGGAAGGCGGTGACAGGAGCGCCTGAAGCCAAGTGTCTCCGCCGGGCTCCCGTTGCAGGGAAAAGCCCTGGCTGGCTGCGCGTGGCTGTGCCAAACGATGGCGTTGCTCTAAACACCACGGCAGCACAGGGAGAAGGGAAAGCAACAGTGGCAGAAGATCTCCCAATACGAAGTGCCCCACCAACGCTGAAGTCAACACAGGCAGCACCATATCCGGGTATGCAACAAAAGTACTTCCTAACAGCAAGTCGCCCCCCCGGCCATTCCCCCCCCCCATTTCGCATGTTTAATATAGGCCTTAATTTGGGGGGGAGGGGCTTAATTTGATTTTATTCCTATAAAACATGCTGGGACTTCCTATTGGGGGAGGCCGTATTGTTGGAGAAACACGGTAATATATAATAGACTTTCCCCCACGCCCATTCTGCTGGATTTTTTGTGATCCACGGGAAGAAAGTCGTAGGAATTGTTTTTACTTTTTCTGCAAAATATTGTTGTTTGACTTCTGTCCAGTTATATTCTGATGTTTGATTATCAACATTATCTGTTGTCATCCTTATTTAACCCTTATATTTGTAATGCCACTAGTTTAATATCATCAAAGATGCAAAATTAGGTTAAGAAATTGAATGAATGGATGGATGGATGGATGGATGGATGGATGGATCTAAATTGTAAGGCAATACAGGATTTAGAGAGGATAAGGATCAATAATTAATTCAAGAAACCTTATAAGTCCCTTTCTGCTTCAAGCAGCCTGGAAGATCACTCTGAGAAGAGGCACAACATTATTCTAAATAAACAAATATCCCCTTAAGTAAATAAATATTCTTCTTTCTTACCAAATTAAGACGAAGCTGTAATGCTTCATGCATCATTTGTCTTGCTTTAACATCATCTTGATATCGTTCTTCCCTCCAGTTGCTTAATATCTAGGATGAAAAATATGGTTCGCACTGATCTGCTTTATTTATCTAGATCTGTATAACATAATATGTCTTTTTAATACATTATGGGGTTAAAATATTATAGGATTTCCATTTGAGCAGGGGGTTGGACTAGAAGGCCTTTAATATCCCTTCCAATTCTGTTATTCTGTTATTTTCCGCAGAATTTATCTGTACACTTCTCTTCCTATTTGATCACTGTTGCACTTCTGCTTGCTTTATTTGTTCCCTTTAAACATAATGCTACACATATGGAAAACTACAGTATTATTTCCTATTATAATGTTTGTTTTTAAATTCTTCAAAGGAAAATATTCTGTCAGTTAAAAAATAATTATTTACATTTTGTAGCAAAATTTCAGAAGAGGTTAATCATTGCTTCTTTCCTAGGGCTGAGACAAAAAGACAGGCCCAAGGATCCAACTGGCTTTGTACCTAAGGTGGAACTAGAACACATGGGCTCCTGATTTCTAACCCAGTGCCTTAATCACCACACCAAACTGGCTTTCTCTTTAGTAATATCTGTATAAAAATCCCATATTAACAAGATAAAGGGAAACTATCCTTCCTAGACAATATAAGTTTGTTTGGGGGTTTTTTTTGGAGGGGGGACAAGCTAACAATCTTTTTACCTGCCCTATCCATACATAGGTAGTCCTCGTGTAATGGCCATAACGGAGTGTACAGATTATGGCCATGAGTCATAATACTGGTAACTTTACTATGTAACTTTACAACTTTTTTGTGGTGGCCATTAAACGAATGCGACAATCATAAATGCAAATGCCACAATTGTTAAACAAACCCATGGTTCATTTTGCTGAAAACTGGAAATGCTGGGTTTTTACAAAACCAGTGTAAAATATGGCCATATGACTGTGGCATTCTGTAAATGGATATAAATGTGGCTGTGTTTCCAAGCACTCAAAATGTGGTCACATGACTGGGTAGAGGAAAAAACCATAGGAACTTTTGAACTGGGTGGCATGTCCCCTTTTTCAAGTAGGACACAAGTCAAGGAGTTATAGAAAATACTTTGAAAGTAGGATGGGTTAAATTTTGATGCACTAATTTTTTCTTACACAACATTCAACATTAATACATGTTCCAAATCCAATACAAAAGGGATTTTTAATTCTACTGTCTCATTTACTTTAATGTATAGGCCAGGTTTTAATAGATAGTTGCACACCTGCTGGGCTCCTGTGGAAATTGTGTCTTAGTGCCTCAAAAGCCAATTCTCCTTGCCATATAAGCTTCCATTAGTACAAAGACAAGTGTTATAGGAGATTACAATGAAAAATAATTAAATACCTCACCAAATTCATCTAAATGTTCATTTGAATTTTATATTATTCCTATAGAAGATCTGGAAGGCCTTACTGAAATGGAACAAGACTACTACTATAATTCAAGGAATAGCTTATTTGTTGGTCTGATGACTATTTTTAATTCTGAGAAATTCAGCACATTTTGTACAATACTAAAAATGGAAGGAAATCAGATAAACAAGATGTATAAATGAATTGATTTCACTGATTTTGCTACGAATGTAGTTTGAGATATGGTTTCCCATCTGCCTCTGCCCATTACTTTAACTGGTCTTTAACAGATGCAGACCACAGCATTGTCTGGTTTTTACCTGATTAATTTGATTTTGCAGAGATGTTAGAAGCCCTTCACGCTGTTCATCCTGTCCCTTGAGACAAGTGAGTACCAAAGACAGGAATGGTTGCTGACTCAGAAGAGACATACTTTAAAAAAACACACAGAGTGGACACTGAATTAGATGTTTTTTTTCTGATACTTCCTCTACTCAAATTCTTCCTTCCCCTTTTCAGTATTTCTCTAAAAAGATTTCTTTATAAACTCTCATCACTCTTTAAAAACCACAAAATTGTTCCTGACTTCACTAATGCATGTGACCAGAATGGTTTGTCAAATGGACAGGCAAAAAGAGCTTCTCTTATGAGTCATTCTGCGAAGCAGATACTCAGTTTGTAAATGTGATAAATAAATAAATAAAATGTTTTAAGAATAGGAAGCTTCTTCAAAACATTGATAACTTTTACGGGAATAAACAGTTTCTGAAAATAATAATTTATAGAAGTACACATTCCTGCTATCGAAAAATGCATCTTAGAAAGATTATTTTTAAATTTTTCTGCAGTGATCTATAAATCAATTTACATAGGATACCAAGCACAAGACTACTTGTTTAGGCAAATAATTTAATATTGTCTAATAATGAAAGATGTGTAACACTTCTTTTCCTCTTGAAATATAAGCATCTCAAATCGTACTTTGTACTTTTGTCTTGTACTTTGAGAAGCTCATCCTATTAGAGACAAGATAAAGAATTATAACATTCTTGTTTTTCCTGTTCTTTCATTTTGTATTTTACTTTCCTGGTGACAAAAATAGTATGCAATTTCTGAGGATAAGCAACTCAAGGAACATTTAGCAAGGAGCCTTTTTTCATCTTGGTAAAAAAGTGTTATTTAATTCTTTTTTATCAACTAGTTCAAGACAAATTAATACTAATTACTGGCATAAATTTAATTTTGAAATATGAAATTAGATGTGGATAATAATAGAAAAGAGAAAATTCCAAATTTAGACAAACACCCATAATATGAATTGGTATAATTAGTGGAATATTTTGCAGTAAAAGACAGACAACTTAGTATGTCCAAACTCCTAAGCACAATCCTAACATTTACTTAAAAAAGAAAAATGTATTTGTTGTAAGTAGATCTACCGTAAAAGAATTAGCTTCATATGTAAATTAAGGAAAAAATAAGTTACTTTGATTCTCTTTTCTTAGTCTTCAGCATAAATATTTAGTTTAGTTTTCAAAACACAATATTTCTAGTAAAAATGAGCACCCAACTTCATTTTATAGACTTCATTTTATTTAAGAATTTACTGTGTTCACTTTCTTAAAAAATTAATATGCCACAGTTAGGTTTTTTTCCCCAAAACAAAATCTGGTTTCTACTGATTTCTTTAAAGAAGAATCAAATTCTACAGCTCATCTTTGCAGCAGAGATGTTTAAAATACAGCCATATTTTCCAGTATCTTCTACCTCTTCTGTTTTTGCCTGTCTCTCTCCTTCTTTGAACATGATCCCAAGTGCTGGCCCTTCTCTAGTTCTTCTCCAGCTGCTTTCAAGACTCGGCCTTGAACAGATGTTGGCAGCTTTGCAATCAGGGGAGCCACTAACCAGACACCTTGTCTTTCAGAAGAGCTAAAGACATGAAACAAATAAGATTTTTGAGCAGAATCAATATATTCAGTACTTTTTTCACATTTGAATATATATATCAACAAGAGCTTTTACTAAAAAAAAATAAGGCACAGAGTTCTGCACAGGATATTATTATTGTTGTTGTTATTATTGTTATTGTTGTTGTTAATCTTTGTTGAGATTCACAGCCTTTGGGGCTGGTTGGTAGGTCAACAGCTCCTAACCAAAGTCTTAACCAAGGACCTAGGAACTGTTAAGGTAGCGTCGGAGGATATAAGCTATTCCAAGTAGGGTGGTTTTTTGTAGAATCAAGGTATTCAATTATTATTATTATTATTATTATTATTATTATTATTATTATTATTATTATTATTATTATTATTATTATTATTATTATTATTATTA